TAACCATTTGCTCTGTGTCCTCAGCTGGGGAAGATAATGGCTTGTTAGTTACAAGCTGGCTGCAAACTGCCCACACTGTTTGGCTTTGTTTTAACTTTCCTGTCTCAGTTTCTCTATTTCTCCTGCTCTGGAATCCTGAAACAATTTTGATGTGGTTGTGGGAGGCAGTGAGTACAGGCGTTTACCTATGCCACCATCTTGGTCCCCAAAAGACATTTTTAAATACAGTCTTCATCATAAATCACTGACCTCTTATTTTCATCAAGGGACATTTGTTTGTTTTTTCCCTTTTTTCTTTCTCAGCCCTGGGGCTGCCTACTGTACACAGGATGAGGAGGGGAGAGGGAAAAAGACAAGAGAAACATTAAATGAAAAGAGCAGCTGTGCAGGGGTGGAGAGTATGAATTTCTGTCACAAGGATCCCTTCTATCGTCCAAGCTTGAAGCGCCAGTCCCTCCCTGCCCTCTGGTGGACAGTCTGTGAAATAGGCCTTCAGTTGGGCAACAAGCAAGTTACTATGGGAAGGAAGTGCAAGCCAGGGCTCCCTGAGCATAGGCTACAAGAGCGCATGTTTACTTGAGTGCCTCTCATCTTTCTGTTCCTGCACAGTCTATCTGCATATGTTAAATGACGTGGACAAATCACCAGAGCTTGATTCTGGGCTTAAATATTTTGAAGTCAATTTTTAAAAGTTAAACTTATGTGAAAACTCAATTTATGGTGAGTTTTTAAAAAATGCAGTAAATGGCCCTGACCAGTTTGGCTCAGTGCGTTGGCCTGCGGACTGAAGGGTCCCAGGTTAGACTCCAGTCAAGGGCATGTACCTTGGTTGCGGGCACATCCCCAGTAGGAGGTGTGCAGGAGGCAGCTGATCGATGTTTCTCTCTCATTGATGTTTCTAACTCTCTATCCCTCTCCCTTCCTCTCTGTAAAAAATAAATAAAATATATTTAAAAAACAAAACAAAAAACTCCTTAAAAAATGCAGTAAATGAAATGCTGACAAGGTGAGTTAAAAAAACAGACATGTCTCAAATATTACATAAGTATTTACTCCTTAAAAAATGAGTAAATGAAATGCTGACAAGGTGAGTTAAAAAACAGACATGTCTCAAATATTACATAAGTATTTAAGAGAAAAAATAAGAAAGGTTAAAATCAGTTAATATAGTCATTTCTGTTTTGAAATTTGGTAAATACCAGTTTTTAAGTTACTTTCATTGATGATAAATGTAGCACTTTTAGGGGGGCCACAGTTTAACCTTTTCTCTCTAGTGGGGGCCAGTCTGTTCTTCCTGCAGCTGGGTTGGTTTCTGCACATACAAATGTAATCGGGTTGTATTTTACTAAGCACTTGTCCTCTGCAGGGGAGGAGACTGCTCAACTCTGGGAAGATATTATGTTCTGCACTTCCAAGGAGAGGAGAGGGCGTGGGGACTGTTCTTTTGAGACTAATAGTAATTGTAGCTAATGTGGAGCATTTCGGTGTGCTGTGAACTGTGCTACTTATATATGTAACTATTTAATCCTCACAGTAATTTTATGAGTTATAGACACAGTTATTATCCCCACTTGACAGAGAAGGAACTGAGGCTTGTAGAGGTAATAAGGTGTCTGAGAGCACTCAGCTGATGATCGGTAGAGGTAGGATTTGAAACCAGGCAGCCTGTCTTCAGAGCCAGTGCACTTACCCAGCACATAGCTGGGTGCCCCTTGTGTACTTTTGGAAGCCAAGGCTGGGAGACCATTCCAGCAGAGGGCAAAGAGGGGCTTGGCAGAGAGGCCTCTGGGGATGCTGTTGTGGGAGAATTCTTCAACCCAAGCCTTGGTATCCTGGGGTTCAGGTGGGAGTAGGGATGGGGGGCGGGGAGGGATTGCCAGGGTGGGAGTGGGATCGATCTGGGGCCAGGCAGCTGCTGGGTCTTGTGTGCTATTACCTGTCCAACACTGTTCTGGGCACCCTGGAGATCCCTAAGTGTATTTTTTCAGGAAGTTCGTACCAGCATTCAAATCATTCCCAAGTGTGAGCTGGCTCTCAAAAAAGGAATCGCTGTGGGGGATGGGAGGAGGGGAAATTGAATGAAGGTCAAAATGTACAAGCTTCCCATCATAAGATAAGTAAGTTCAAGGAATCTAATGTACAACATGACATTGGTTAACACAGCTAAATGGTGTATTTGAAAGCTGTTAAGAGCAGATCCTGCTCTAGCCGGTTTGGCTCAGTGGATAGAGCATCAGCACTCGAACTAAAGGGTCACGGGTTTGATTCCGATCAAGGGCACATACCTTGGTTGCAGGCTCAATCTCCAGCGCTAGTTGGGGCTCGTGCAAGAGGCAACCAATCATTGTGTCTCTCTCACGTCGATGTTTCTCTATCTTCCCCCCTTCCTTCCACTCTCTCTAGAAATTCATGGAAAAAATACCCTCAGGTGAGGATTAACAAAACAAAGAGTAAATCCTAAGAGTTCACACCACAAGTTTTTACTTTATTTTCTCTCTTTTTTTTTTGTATCAACAAAAGATGAAAGGTGTTAACTGTTTTTTCATGATACATATAAGTCAGATCATTATTCTGTATATTATACAGTACTGTATGTCAATTATATCTTAAAGCTGAAAAAAAAAGAATCATTTTCCTCCTGTACTTACTGACATTGGCCTCTAATTTGTCTGCCTTCCTCCTTGTGTTTGCAGTGTATATTCCCCATCTTATATGAATGCACACCTTTCTGGGGTCCTTCACTTTCACTGAATTCTCAGACCCCATGAGTACACAGGAAGAGTTCGTGAGCAGCACTGGTGGGCAGAATGTGCCTCATCCCTGCTCTGGGCCCTCTCCCCTACCAGCTGCTTGAACCGAGGAGAGATGTGTCCAGCTCAAACCCTCTGCCTATCGAGTGGGCTGGGAGGAACAAGATCTCCCATGTCCAAGCCAAACCCGTTTCAAGCCACAATTACCTGGTTTCGATTCCAGCCCCACTCGGTCAGACATCATGTGTCTCTCCACATTCCTTCATGTGGCCACAGACTGCGTGGCGAGTAGGGCCAGCAGCAAAACAAGATGTCACCCAGGCCAGTGTGGCTCAGTTGGAACATTGTCCTGTACACCAAAAGGCTGCAGGTTCGATTCCCTGTCAGGGTACTAACTCAGGTTGTAGGTTCGGTCCCAAGTTGGGGCATGTATGGGAGGTAACCAATCAACCAATCGATGTTTCTCTCTCCCTCCCTCTCTCTCTAAAAAAATCAACAAAAACACAAGATGTCTGGGATTCTGCTGAGGGTTGAAAGGACGCCCATCATCTGTTCTTTGTATTGTCCTTTTGTTACCCAGGTTTAGCCTCCAAGGTGTACGAACATCGAATGTGTACCGCCAGAAAGGTAAGAGATTTGTCACCCTTACCAAGAGGTTAACTGTTGGATGCTTACAACCAGCTCTCAAAATAAAACCCTGGATTTCAGTGTTTGTCAGTCTCTGAGGTGTAAATACTCCTAAAGGTGCATCCTGTACATCCCCTACCAGGGCCGGGAATCAAGCCTGCAATCGAGATACATGCCCTTGACTGGAATGGAACCCAGGATCCTTCAGTCCATGGGCAGACTCTCTATCCACTGAGCCAAACTGGCTAGGGCACCCCCCCAACTTATTTTTGTTTGTTTGTTTGTTTTTTGTGGGGTTTTTTTTTTAACCCCCCCAACTTAAAGATGATTCCCATGATATACTCTCTCAGCCCTGGGATCCCAGAGGCACTCTCCACAAGTGGTCATCACCACATTCCCGTGTGGGTTTCTGTGTTTGCTGCCATCTCTCTATTGGAAGCTCCAGGGGCCACACCACCCAGTGCCTGGTGGGTGACCAGCACATAGTGGCACTCAGTGAATGTTTTGTAGAAGGGAAGGACCTGAGAGTAGGGAGAAGGGAGAGAAGACAGCCAAGAGAGTTCATTTAACTTACTTGATTTCTTTGTACAAGAGGAATAGCCACTGGAAGTATACTGGGTACCTTTTGATACAAGGGATGTATCAGTGAGGTGCTCTCAGCTGCCAGTGACAGAGACCTGACTTTAAATGGCTTGAACAATAAGAGAAATCCATTACCTCACTAACAAGAAGCTCCAAGATAGGGTGGCTCCAGGTTGGTGTGTAGAGACCCCAGTTCTTCCTTTTTCTGCTCTGCCTTCTTAGGGATAAACTCTGCCCCCACAGCTGCTGAGAGCTGTAGGCATCATCTGGATATAGCCATGTCCTACAGGAAAGGCATCCGCTCCTTCCTGTGTTGCTCTCTATAGGAATAAGGAAAGTTCTCAGAGGCCACATGCCCTGCCCTAACCCAGCCCTGAAAGGGGACTGGAATGACCAAGGTTCTCAGTGTGGTGCCCCGACCAGCAGGATAAGCATCACTTGGGAGCTTGCTGGAAATTGGGGGAGGGCAACGATCTGAGTGGTTTTTTAAAAAATTGATTTGAGCAAGACGGGGGGGATCATTGATTTGTTGCACCACTCAGTTATGCACTCACTGATTCTTTTTTTAAAATCAGTTAATATAGTCATTTGTTTCAAAACTTGGTAAATACCATTTTAAAAACGATTTTCATTGATGATAAATGTAGCCTAAAATTTTAGAGAGAGAGGGAAACACCAATGTGAGAGCTATATCGATCAGTTGCCTATTGTACGCACCCTGACTGTGGGTTGAACCCACAACCTGCGTATATGCCCTGACCAGAATCAATGCACAGGATGACACTCCAACTGAGCCACACTGGCCAGGGCCAGTTGATTCTTGTATGTGCCCTGACAAGAGATCAAGCCTGCAACCTTGGTGTATCAGGATGACACTCTAACCAACTGAGCGACCCAGTCAGGGCCTGCGATCTGAATTTTAAAAAGTCCTCCTGGTGATCTGATGCTTAGTAAAGTTTAAAAAACAGAAGGGGTGCCCAGGCAAAAGCCGATGACTGGTGTTTGACCCTCCCCACCTTTGCCTTCTCTCTTTCCCACCAGCTACCAGAGATTCACTGACTGTTATAAGCGCTTCTACCAGTTGCAACCTGAGATGACTCAGCGAATCTATGACAAGTTTCTAACACAGTTGCAGACATCCATCAGGGTGAGTGACAAGAAGCCCAGCAGCTACTGTTTGTTGGCTTGGGTCCTGCCTCCAGACTCTCGCCCCCTGGAGGCAGGGACCCTACCCTCCACTGTCCTCACTCCCTACAGCAGTAGTTCTCAACCTTCCTAATGCCGCGACCCTTTAATACAATTCATGTTGTAGTGACCCCCAATTTCGTTGTTACAAATTGAACATAATTAAAGCATAGTGATTAATCACAAAAACAATATGTAATTATATATGTTTTCCGACGGTCTTAGACGACCCCTGTGAAAGGGTCGTTCGACCCCCAAAGGGGTCGTGACCCGCAGGTTGAGAACCGCTGCCCTACAGTGTCTTTCGTGCTGCCAGGCTGCAGTGGCAGTTTCCCTCCCTTCACACGGTGCGGGTATCTTAAATGCCCCGCCTGTCATTGTCCTGTATTATAATTGTGTTTATATGCTGTCTGCCCACTAGACCTGTGAGTTCAGTGAGGGTATGTCTGGGTCTTATTCTTTGCTTCTCCAGCACCTGGTGCAATGCCTGGCACAGAGGCAGCATCTAACAAATTGTTGGAACTGCATACTAGAGGGAACACAGAGAAGGACAGGATCCCATTCATTATCTCTCTAGAGCAGGGGTCCTCAAACTACGGCCCGCGGGCCACATGCAAATACAAATATTGTATTTGTTCCCGTTTTGTTTTTTTTACTTCAAAGTAAGATATGTGCAGTGTGCATAGGAATTTGTTCATAGTTTTTTTTTGAATGCAGTGTCGGGGGTAAGATTAGAAGTCATTTTAAGAAAGACAAGAAGGTTAGTTTAGGATAGCGGTTCTCAACCTGTGGGTCAGGACCCCTTTGGGGGTCGAACGACCCTTTCACAGGGGTCGCCTAAGACCATCGGAAAACACATATATAATTACATATTGTTTTTGTGATTAATCACTATGCTTTAATTATGTTCAATTTGGAACAATGAAATTGGGGGTCACCACAACATGAGCAACTGTATTAAAGGGTCGCGGCATTAGGAAGGTTGAGAACCACTGCTCTAGAGAATGAAATGGTCCTGTGGTTACACCTCAGGATGGGCCTCTTAAGCATCCAAGTGTGTGTGGGGATGACGGCAAGGCCTGCAGCGCTCAAGATGGGCAGGAGAGAGGCTTGCTGCAGGCTCTTTTTAAATGTTTCCCACTTTATCCTTTTATTTATTGACTAGAGGCCCGGTGCACAAAAATTTGTGCACTCGGGGGAGAAGGGGGGGTCCCTCAGCCCGGCCTGTGCCCTCTCGCAGTCTGGGACCCCTCAGGAGATAACGACCTGCTGGCTTAGGCCTGCTCCTGGGTGGCAGAGGGCAGGCCCAATCCCTAGGTGCAGCCCCTGGTCGGGCTCAGAGCAGGGCTGATTGGGGAGTTGGGGCGCCGCCCCCGTCATGCACAGAGCAGGGTGGATCGGGAGGTTGCGATGTCACCCTCAGTCACGCTCAGGGTAGGGCCGATTGGGGGGTTGGGGCACCGCCCCCTGTCACACTCAAGGCAGGGTCGATGGGGAGGTTGCGGCGCCACCCCCTGTCACTCACAGAGCAGGGCCCATCAGGGGGGTTGGGGCTCCGTACCCTGTCACGCACAGAGCAGGGCCAATCAGGGGGTTGGGGAGCTCCCCCCTATCAGGCACAGAGCAGGGCTGATCAGGGGGTTGGGGCGCTGCCCCCTGTCACTCACAGAGCAGGGCCCATCAGGGGGGTTGGGGCTCCGTACCCTGCCACACACAGAGCAGGGTCGATCAGGGGGTTGGGGAGCTCCCCCCTGTCACACACAGAGC